TGTTGTAAAAGTCAAATTGAAAACTGTAAAAAGAGTGTAGAAAAAATTTTGCATGTACGAATAATTTATGTGGATCCCACTGTCACTATGCACACACAGTAAATCTTATCCTTTACCGTCTATGTAAAGAAACATTTCGACGTTCATTTTGTTCATTCAGAAGTTCGCAATAAAAATAAGAAATCTCTTTTGCTCTCTTTTCTCTCTTCTCTGAGTGTCAAATTTACTGAAAGTATAATTTTTTTTTTTTTTTAAGTTTCTTCACCATAAATACCCTATTTACTTTTATAACAAAAACGATATAATTTTGAAACGGTTCTGTTCATAATTTCATATGTACTAGTAAATGAGAGAGAAGGTACTACGTGAGTGGAAAGGCACATGATCACGTGACGAAACCAGGGAACGAAAAAGACATCAAGAGTAGTACCAAAACTAGACGACATTATCAACTATGATAATGTAATAAAATGATACTACATGAAATTAATTTCGGTCCAATTATTGGCTACCAATGGCGTTTTTGTTTGATAACGAGGGTTGGGCACAAAATGTCAACAAAGTACCAACAAAATCCAACCGAACTAGACCACCACTGGATAATTCGGTTTACTTTCAGTTAAATTTAGAAGCCTATACTATTTTCTTTTTTTCCTTTTCCTACTAGAAGTACTACTCTTTTTTATCTAGTAAAATATTTTGACTAAAATCAAATATTTTATAAGAGTTGGCTTCACCGGATACAAATTCCCAATTTTTGAAAGATAAACATAGCATTTTCAAAAAAAAATCTAGATGATAAATATAAATCTGCAAAAGTGTAAAAAAAACTAACCCAAACAAAATCAAATTGGTTAATTGACGGAGTTGCACTTCGAAAATCCATGAACAGAGCCTGAAACATGATCTTTATACGAAAATTCATATATCAAACTAGAAGTAGTGCCCAAACAAATATAGAAGCAATGTCCCCCTTACCACAAGTATGATACACAGCTAACAGTCGTTCCTTACTTTGGCACGCTTAGTGACAGTGGCGTCGAACTCCTCTACGACTTTAGTTGTTAAAGCATTAGGCTTGGATATCTATTTCTTTATGCTTTACCTTTTGTAGCAATGTTCTTGTTAGTTTTTAATGGCTTTGTTTTCATGTTCTGTAAACATTTTTTCCTTTGATGGAGAATAACTGATATAAAAATTTTGTTTGTCCAAAATTTACTAGAATACTTATAATTTTAACATGAAAATAAATGGTTTATTAACACACTTATAAATGTTAATAAACATTCTATTGTCAGAGTTATTTTATTGTGAATGTTTAAATTTTTACAT